TTTCCCATTTCCTTTCCCAGAAGACTAAATTATTCAAGGGCAAAGAATGTGTTTTATGCCCTTTTATATCTCATGCATAGGACATATGCAAGGAAGTTCATGGGGGCTAAGCTGTGAGGATGCAAAGGCATCGTGGGGGCTTGTGAGGAAGGAGGTAAAGGGGTGAGGGACGAAAGACTACACACTGGGTACAGTGTACACTGCTCAGGTGACGGGTACACCAAAATCTCAGAAACCACCATGAGAGAGTTTCTCCATGCAGCCAATTCCCCAAAAACTATTGAAATAAAGAGAGAAAAAAAGGGCAGTTTTTGCTATGTTACAAAGCTGACCATGAGTTTGGTTAAGGAAGATCTGAGTTATCCTCGCTATTTACATTGCATTTGTGTTTTACAGTACTTGAATATGAGGACATTACATAAAGAGTAGATGAATGTGTTTCACTGTTTTGAATCAGAACTGTCAGGCTTCTCAATAGTCTATCATCGTCTGGTTTATAATATTTGCCATTTCTCTCTGGAAAGGCTTTTAAGCTTTTAAAGTAAGCCATATACTGCAAAAGTAGAAACTTGAAATTTTACCTTTTTGGGAAAAATTACCCCTATTAACAGTATTTTTCCCTAAAATCTCATTTAGGTCATTTGTTTGGAACTTGGAATGCATCTCCCAATAGAAACAATGAAGTGCATGGTGATTAGGCTTTTAGCTGGTGCACAGAGACAGTATAATGCCTCAAAATACCATAATACCATTAGTGAGATCATAAGCTAGTAAGCAGCTACTGTGTTTGATGATTCCGACAGGCCCTGGTGTGTGTTGCTCCCCTTTGTCCATGTGTTCTCTTCGCTCAACTTCCACTTCTAAGTGAGAACATATGGTGTTTGGTTTTCTGTGCCTGTGTTAGTTTGCTGAGAATGATGGCTTTTGGGTTTATTTTTACTTACGTCATGCCAAACCATACAATGTTATGAAAATTACTGTGATTATTGATCAAACACATAGGCCATTGGAGGAAAAATAAAATAAATTCTCAATGTTTACAGAAGAATACAGGAAACTGCTTTTCTTAAAATGTGTTCACATGGTCTTTCATTTCTAAAGAAACTGGTGTTGGCCAGGCACGGTGGCCCATACCTGTATACCTGCACCTTGGGAGGCCAAGGCAGAAGGATTGTTTGAGCTCAGGAGTTCCAGACCAGCCTGAGCAACACAGTGAGACCTTGTCTCTAGAAAAAAATTAAAAAATTATCCCAGTATGGTGGTGCATGCCTGTAGTCCTAGCTACTTGGGAGATTGAGGTGGGAGGATTGCTTGAGCCCCGGAGTTTGAGGCTACAGTGAGCCATGATTATGCCATTGCACTGCAGCCTGAGTGACAGAGCAAGACCCTGTCTTAAAAAAGGAAGCTGGTGTTAATCTCCCCTTCATGTAACCCACTGCACAGATGTGTGTAGCTCCAAGTGCACACAGCCTTCCGTCTCTCGGCCTAATGTAACAGGACAGTGGAGCTGGCGGAATTACAGGCAATTTCAACGAGGTAGGAAGGAAACAGCTGGAAATCCCTGGAGTAACCTTACTTGTCTGATCAAAAGTATACGTCACACTGGCAGAACTCTTGTTCGTGTTCGAAACCAAAGGTTGGTAAACTTTTTCTGTAAAGGACCAGATAGTAAATAGTTTTAACTTTTGGGCCATATGGTATGTATCATAACTGCTCAACTCTACTTCTGAAGCACAAAAGCATCATAGATAACAAGAAAAAAATGAATTGTGGCTGCCTTCCCATCAAACGGTACATACAAAAGCTGGGGTGGGTCACGGTTTGCCAACCCCTGATCTGGAATACACCTGAATGTGGTGCATAGCCTTCATTACATTTTTGTAAAATTGTCTCAATTTGAAGCTGGAGGTCCTTTCTTCCCCTCTGAGATTCCTTCTTCCACTCTCCCCCCTCCCCCACATTTTCTATCTGCAGCTTTATTCTGGTGGTGACCCAAAAGGTCAAGGCTTGGCTCCTTCCCGCAGCACAGCAGGATATTGGCACAGACTCAACCCTCCCAGGTTCTCAGAATGGAGCTCATACAAAGCTAAGCCTCTTGATGATACTGACGACCTCACAGAGCTCAGTGCTTAGTATATTTTGTTTTTTGAGATAGGGCCTTGTTCTGTCATCCAGGATAGAGTGCAGTGGCACAATCTCAGCTCACTACAACCTCTAGCTCCCTGGACCAAGTGATCCATCCATCCCAGCATCTGAAGTAGCTGGGACCACAGGCACAAGTCACCAAGTCTGGCTAAATTTTCTATTTTTTGTAAAGATGGGGTTTCACCATGTTGCCCAGGCTGGTCTTAAACTGGGCTCAAGGAATCTTCCTCTCGCGGCCTCTCAAAGTGCTGGGATTACAGGGATGAACCACCATGCTTGGCCAAGTAATTAGTTTTTAATGGAAAATCAGTCTGTATCTTTTAAGATCTTTGGAAAGATATCCATTCTTCTTCCCTCACAGCAGCTAGCACAATGTCCTACACCCAATAAGTATTTGTTGATGTTAGTTTGAGGTCATGGCAACTGTGACTTTATCCCTTTGTACATTAGTTTGGTGAAGACCTGGCTTTCTAGTTCCAGAAGCAGAACTGAAGCAAATTCCTTTTCTTTTGGGAAAACAGACCTTTTGCAAAGAGACACAGACTCTCACAAGAAAACAAACCTGTCTTCCTGAGACTCATAGGGGAATGATTGGGGAGGTGTTGGAATCCTTGGGGGAAATTATGGGTTATGGTTTCTTTCTGCTCTAGATAAGGGTTCGGCGCAGGCAGATCCTGGAAAAAGTGGAGTCCTTTATTGCCCAATGGGAGATGGCATTTCCAGGAGCAGTCCTGGCTGGTGCAATGGTGGCTGCTTGTACAGCTTCTTTCGGCTCTTATAGGGAGATAGCCAGGGCAGCTCTCTAAAGAAAACAGCTTGGTGGAATCCTTATCCTTATCAACATGGCTAGATCACAGGGGCTGGTGGCCTTATCATATCAGGGCAACCAGTGATTTCACCATGTCACCAACTACTCCTTTAGAAACCACCACATTGTGACATTTCAAGCATAACACTAGTGCCCAAATCCATTCTGCCATATTATAACTCAGCTGCATCAGCAAGATTATTGCTAAAGGCCCAGAGTCTCAAATACTTTATGAGACAGCCTGAAGATGTAAGAAAGTAAGTCTAATTTCACCATAGCATTTACTTGGCTGTGTGTACGTGCACACGCCAGGTCCCGGGAACGAGGAAATTTCCCCCAAAAAGCTCTAACCAATTCACTTTAGTAATTTCTTGTTTGTTTCACTCTGATACTGAGTTTTCTTCTCATTCAAACATTCATTTATTCATTGAAATACTAAAAACTATTAGTCGAGTGTCCTCTATGTATCTATCCATTGCCCTAGGTACTGTGGATACCACTGTAAATAAAACATGTGAAACACTTGCTTTCATGAAGTTTATATGCAAGTCTGACAAAGAAATATGCAAATGTCAGATGTTGCTAAGTGCAATGGAGATCAATGAAGTAGGGAAGGTGGTGAGATAGCTGCAGAGATGTAGACTGGTTGGGTGGGGGGTGCTGTGAGCAGTGGGACTCAATTCCTCCCAACCTGGCCCCTGTCACTCGTTCAGACTAGTGCATCCCTCCAGAGAGCCACCCTCGATCATCCTGGGCCTTCACAGAGGCTACCCTCCTGCCCTTGTCCCTACTCACTTAGGCGACCCCTCCTCACACCGCAGGGCTCAGCACACTGGCCTCCAGAAAGCCCCACTTCTTCCCTCACCAGCGCTGACCTGAGGCCCACGCCACTCTTCTCTGGCCCCCATTTCACCTGGTGCTTCTCACGCTGCAGGAGCTTCATGGCTGGGGGGCCTTCCTGAAGAGGCTGTGGGCTCATGGAGGGTGGGGTATGTCTGTTTCCTCTGTGTCCATTACAAAATCTCAACCACATGAGGAAGGAAAAACCCTACAAGGAAAGGAAAATATTCTCTCCCTTCTCAATGGTTGAAATCAACCATTGAGAGATGAAAGAAAAGGAATTGAATATGTTGCATGTAGACATTAGGAGATCTTCAAAATCCAAAAGCTATTTCAGATTTTGAAATTACAAATGATTGAAAACCACCATGGCACGTTAAACCTATGTAACAAACCTGCACAATCTACACATGTACCCCAGAACTTAAGAGTACAATAAATATAGAAAAAGAAACTACAAATGAAAATGCTGTTGAAGCGTTGTACCAGTTTAAATAGCTAGGAAACGAAATATCAATCTCTATAATCCATCTAGACAAAAGCACTTACTTTTTAAAAGAGGAAGATGTTTTGGGGACCAAAAGAGAGAAAACCTCTGTGAAAGATCCCCAGCCATGATTGGCCCCTGCTTTGCTCTGAGCTCATGAAAAGCCTTTGTGATGTCATAACAGACAGGCCTATATAAGGCCCTGGCTGGATCATGGTTTTTGGCCTGATAAATCCCTGGAAGCTTTTTTGGTGACCTGTGGACTCAGACCAGCTTAGCGATTACGAGTTGTTTGGCGGGGTGGGGGGAGTTTTTGTGGGGGGGCGTTGTTGTGTTTTTTAGTTAGTATAGTTAATATAGTTGGTACTGTTTCTTAGCATTTTAGTGTTCTTTGGGATAGTTAGTATTGTTAATATTTTAGCGTAGTCCATAAAGTTAGAGTAGTTACTTGTATATAGTTAGTGTAGACAAAGTAGGCACCATGAGGCAGGGCTTGGCCTCCACCCCACCTGCCCTGCGGCCACCTTATTATCAAATACTGAACTTTATAGGCCGTGGTGCCTTTGGGGAGGTCACGCTGGCCCGCCACTTAATGACTGGCACCCGGGTGGCGGTGAAAACAATCGACAGAACCGGCTTCCTCTCTAGCCACAGAGAGATGACTGTTTTACAGTCAGTGCACCACCGAAACATCATCAAGTTATATCATATTATTAACAGCAGAGAGGCGTGCCATTTCGTTCTAGAATACGCCGCAGGAGGAAGCCTGTCTAACTGGATTGAACGAAATATCGTGGAGGAGGAGGAGGCCCGAGGCAAGTTCCAACAAATGCTGTCCGCCGTGAGGTACCTCCACCGCCGCAGCATCGCTCACCGAGACCTAAAACCAGACAACATGCTGTTAGATGTTAAGGGAAACATAAAAATTGCTGATTTTGGATCGGCCACGAGTTACCATGAGGGGCAGAGGCTGACAATAGCTCATGGGACCCTGGCCTACATGGCCCCAGAACTCTTCGGGGCCCAGGGCTATGAATGCCCCGCCCTGGACATATGGAGCCTAGGCGTCACGCTGTTCCAGATGGTGTCCAACAACCTGCCCTTCTTCGCAGTGAGTCGTACGCAACTGAAACGCCTAATTCTATCTGGCCAGTATGCTAGCCCGCACTATTTTTCTGAAAACCTTAAAAGACTAATTAAAAACCTTTTAACGCCTGATCCTAATGAGCGGCCGACAGCAGACAAAGTCATGGGGGAATCATGGGTGAACAACGGCCTTCACAGGAAGTCAGACCCCCAGCATGCCCCCACGGCCTCCCTGACCATCGAGCGCACTTGTGGAGATTTAGAAAACTTGGCACGGCAAGCCCTCCAGTGTGACCGTGTGGCCTCCTCCATTGTAAGCGCCATAGGCGGTGGTGATGCTTTAGAAACCTTGGCAGAGCAAGCCCCCCAGCGTGACCTCGTGTCTGCAGCCTCCACCAAGTGCTCCACCGGCAGTGAAAATTTAGAAACTTTGGCTCAACCAGCCCTCCCGCATAACTTCACGGCCGCCTCCACCCAGATCACCACCCAGAGCACCGTGGCTCAACAACCAGGACACGAAGGCAGCGTCCTCCAAGCTGGGCAGCCCGAGGCTGTGTTGGCCCGGCCAACAAGAGGCTGGAGCTGCCGCAGGGCTGCCCGAAGGTGCATTGCCATAATAAGGAGATGCTGCTGCTGCCTGTGCCCATCCAAGAGGCAGAGTAAGAGGGTCCACCCAAGAGAAAAAGTAAGTAGGTGGGCGGTGAAGCCGCACTTCTTGCATTTTACTATATTTATTCTGTCTTTATTAGTATTGTTTTAATTGGCAAATCATGCTTGTACATTCATGGGGTGCAGTGTGAGGATTAGATAGATGTGTGCACCGTGGAATGAGGAAATCCCACTACTCAGCATCTCCACCACCTCAGAGAGACCAATTCCATGTGATGCCCCGCAAGTGTTGATCTAAACAAGTTGACCCCATTGAAGTAGCCAGTAGATGGATGGTGATCCGGGGCCGGAGAGTGGCAGAGGGAGGGAATGGGGGGGTATTGGTTAAAGGACCAAAGTCTAGACAGGAGGAAGAGGTTTTGACTCCAGTGCACAGCAGGGTGACCAGAGTCAATAAGAACGCATTGCATTTTGCAAAACATGTTCATGTCAAATGTCTCCGCATTTAGATTGGAGAGGACGAAGGCCCGGAGGTCCAGGAACATTGAAACCTGAGATGCCCAGGAGCAACGTTGGAGCCTGCAGCACTTTATATAAAAAAAAATAAAAATAAATTTGTCATTCTGATAAATGACCATTTCTTGCTTCTTGCAAATTTTGTAGTAGCATTGGAAAGACACTCTGCTGCTTTCTGCCCTCCCTGCACAGGACCGGGGCTAGAGAAGGGCAAGGCTGGAGGCAAAGGAAAAGGCAGATTTACTAGCACCTGCCTTAATTTAAAGAAAAGCAGGGTTTATGAAAGGATGGAGGAGGACGTGGAAGAGAGCAAGAAAAAGATATAGCTAAACCAGAGTCTAAAACCTGGTCCAGACTGGAGAGAGTTCAATGTGCAGTGTGGAAAAAGAAAGGACATTGAAAGCATGCATGCCCCAAAAGAATGGTCTATAAAGATCACGCGGTTTACCCCCATGCAATACCTAATGGTGGGATATGATCCAAACTGGTGGGTCACTGTCTTACACTACTACTATTGTGGCTGTAAGAGTATCAGGTAAAAACGAACAAAAACCCTTATGCCAATCAAAATATGTCACTGGAAGACAAGAGGTGCAGCAGAAGTTCTTATATCTTCCCAGCTGCCCTGTTCCTTTGTTGGGGAGGAATCTGCTCCAAAAACTACAAGTACACATTTCTTTTTTCTTTTTTTTTGAGAAGGAGTTTCGGTCTTGTTACCCAGGCTGGAGTGCAATGGCACGATCTCGGCTCACCGTTAACTTCTGCCTCCTGGGTTCAGGCAATTCTCCTGCCTCAGCCTCCCGAGTAGCTGGGATTACAGGCACGCGCCACCATGTCCGTTAATTTTCACCATGCCCAGCTAATTTTTTGTTTTTGTTTTTTTTTTTTTTTGAGACGGAGTTTCGCTCTTGTTACCCAGGCTGGAGTGCAATGGCGCGATCTCGGCTCACTGCAACCTCCGCCCCCTGGGTTCAGGCAATTTTCCTGCCTCAGCCTCCTGAGTAGCTGGGATTACAGGCACACGCCACCGTGCCCAGCTAATTTTTTGTAATTTTAAGTAGAGACGGGGTTTCACCATGTTGACCAGGTTGGTCTCGATCTGCCGACCTCGTGATCCACCCGCCTCGGCCTCCCAAAGTGCTGGGATTACAGGCTTGAGCCACCGCGCCCGGCCAATTTTTGGTTTTTTAGTAGAGACGGGGTTTCATCATGTTGACCAGGATGGTCTCGATCTCTTCGATCTCTTGACCTCGTGATCCACCCGCCTCGGCCTCCCAAAGTGCTGGGATTACAGGCGTGAGCCACCGTGCCCAGCCTGTGGTTTGCATTTTTAAAGCTCCCTGGGCTGCCCAGAGGAAAGGCTGTAGGGGGCGGGCATGAAACAGGTAGGCAGGTTTCCGAGGCTGCTTCCGACTTGGTGCGGGGTCGTCTGGCAGCGGCTACGAGGGGGAACCAAGGGAGTACTTACCACTAGGGGGAGGGCCTTGGCCAATACCTCTGCTCAGTGGGGAGCCAGGCCCTGCCCCAGGTGGTACCTCCTATCTTGCCCAAAGTGAGGGGCTTGTAAGGAACTTTCTCTCCGTCATCCGCAGGGTGGAGCGGAGCTCTCTGGGGTCTGGAGTCCGGGAAGAGTCGAAGGCTTGTGAGCGGCCCAGGCGCGGGCGCCTGCGGCGGGAGGGCGGGACCAGGAGGTTGGCATCGCAGGACCTGTGCGCACCGAAGCACAGCAAGTAAGTCTCAGCCAAGACTGCCCGGCTACCACCAGCTCCTGCGGAGCGTGCACACCTGGGCGTGCACGTGCATCTGGGAACTGCCAAGCCGTGCCACATTTTCTCTCCTTCTGGCCTGGCCTTCAGAGTTTGACCCGCAGCGGCTGAGCGCAGGGCCTCCTCTACTGAAGGCAGCTCCCAGGGCTTCAGAAACTTGCAGTCAGTGGTGGGAGAGCCGGAACAGACCTGCGCAATAAGAACCAGATGATGATGTTGCTGTAGTAGAGTTTGCAGAGTGCAGAGAAGTGAGCAAACGGTGACAGCAGAGAGGAATCCAGAAGGCTTCCAGGAGGAGGCACCATTTGTGATTTGGGGTTGTAGCAGGAGGAGAAAGTTGACAGGTGAATAAGGGGAGGGCATGCCTGCCAGGCAAACCATCTGTGATGGGGAAATGTCCAGTCTGCACCATGACTCCACTGTTCACTTTCCTGACTAAGTAGGAACCACTGGACTCCTCTCTTGTCCTGGGCCTTTTTGTGTAGTCCATCCTTTATTTTATTTTATTATTATTTTTTGAAATGGAGTCCCGCTCTGTTGCCCAGGCTGGAGTGCAGTGGTGTGATCACAGCTCACTGCAACCTCTGCCTCCCCGGTTCAAGCGATTCTCCTGCCTCAGCCTCCTGAGTAGCTGGGATTGTAGGAATGCGCCACCACCCCTGGTAATCTTTTTTTTTTTTTGAGACGGAGTCTTGCTCTGTCCCCAGGCTGGAGCACAGTGGCGTAATCTGGGTTTACTGCAACCTCTGCCTCCCGGGTTCAAGCAATTCTTCTGCCTCAGCCTCCCGAGTAGCTGGGACTACAGGCCTGTGCCACCACGCCCGGCTAATTTTTGTATTTTTAGTAGAGACGGGGTTCCATGTTGGCTAGGGTGGTCTCGAACATCTGACTCAGGTGATCCGCCCACCTCGGCCTCCCACAGTGCTGGGATTGCAGGCATGAGCCCTCGTACCCAACCCACCTGTTTATGTTTAGCTCATTTTCTCCCCGCCATCCATCCCCCTCCATACCCCCACTCTGCCTTTGCTGGAGCCCTAAATCACCACCCTGGCCTTCCATCCTCTCAAGGCATCTGCCCCACCACTGCCAGGGTGCTCTCTTCCTTGCTCCCTCTCTGTAACCCCTGCCCACCCTGTACCTCTCAGCCACAGCACCTGCTCCAGCCCTGGTTTCCTCACAGCTGCTTGGTTTTAGGGCTAACAGGATTCACTGCATGTGATTACTTGCTCTTGCCACAGGAGACGCAGCATGAAGGGAGGCCCTGGGGGTGCGGGCAGAGGTTTCAGGGGAGCTTTGTCTCCATGTCTGCAGTGTCCAGCATGGTGTCAGGTTTAATATATGACACTAGACTGAATGAGCAGAGGGTGGCATGCAGCAGGAGGCTTGAGGATAGGGGTGGGTGAGAGCTGCAGAAGCAGGCAGGTGTTAGACTACACAGAGCCTTACATGCCAACCTATGCAGCTTGGCATTCATCCTCAGAGCAGTGGGAGCCAGAGAGGGCTGGAGACCTGGGAGAGTGGCCTGGTAAGATGTCTGGTGAAGGGCCAGGGGGCTAATGTGGAGGCTGTCACAGTGGTCGCAGTGAGCTGTGACAGTGGCGGGTGGGGTGGACAGGAAAACAGAGAAGTGGTTCTCAACTGGGGGCAATTTTGCCACCACCCCCCCAAGCATTGAGCATTGCCTGGAGACACACCAGTGTCACAACTTGGGGAGTGCTACTGGCATTGAGTGGGTAGAGGCCAGGGACGCTGCTCAATATCCTTGGGACAGCCCGAATAACAAGGAGTGATCTGGCCTTAAGTGTCAACAGTGCTGACGGTGAGAAACCCTGCCCTGTGGGAAAACCCAGAGAATCACCTGCAGGGTGTGGGGAAATGGAGCGTATCTCAGCCTGAACTCTTGGAGCCACGCTGAGGCTTGGCTCTGCCGTATTTTAGCCATGTAAGAACCCTGGGTGAGTGTCACTCAACCTCTCTGCATATGGTTTCCTCCTTTTTTTTTTTTTTGAGATGGAGTTTCCCTCTTGTTGCCCAAGCTAGAAAGCAATGGCATGATCTCGGCTCATTGCAACCTCCACCGCCTCCCCCGGCCCCCCCCCCCCCCACCCTGTGTTCAAGCAATTCTCCTGCCTCAGCCTCTTGAATAGCTGGGATTACAAGCATCAGCCACCACACCCGGGTATGTTTTTGTTTTAGTAGAGACGAGGTTTCTCCATGTTGGTCAGGCTGGTCTCAAACTCCCAACCTCAGGTGATCCTGCTGCTTCGACCTTCCAAAATGCTGGGATTATAGGCATGTGCTACCATGACCAGCTAATTTTTGTATTTTTACTAGAGATGGGAGTTCACCATATTGCTCAGGCTGGTCTTGAACTCCTGACCACAGGTCATCTGCCTGCCTCAGCCTCCCAAAGTGCTGGGATTACAGGCATGAGTTGCCGTGCTCAGCTGCATCCTGGGTTCTTTGCTGTTCCTTGCCCACACCCAGCTTACCCTGCCTCAGGGCCTTTGCCCTCACTGTTCCCTCTGCCTTGGAGACCCTGCCTCTGGGAGTCTATGTGACTCACTACCTCACCTCCTGAGGTCTCTGCTCAGCGGTCACCTTCTAAAGGGGTATTTCTTTTTAATTTTTTAAATTTTTATTTATTTTTTATTTTTTTGCAGAAATGTGTGCAACTAAAGGAGTATTTCTAAACCACACAATGTTTAAAAAAAAAAAAAAAAAAGGCAATGGGTGCTCTGGCTCACTCTGGCAACCAATCCCAGCACCTAGGGAGGCCAAGGTGGGTGGATCACTTGAGCCCAGGAGTTCAAGACCAGCCTGGGCAATATAGCAAGGCCCTGTCTCAAACAAAAATCAAACATAAAATATTCCTTAAGTATTGCTTGAATGAATGGTATGAGTGAAAAACTACCAGGAGTCAGAGAAGTAGGAAGGAAATGAAGAGAAGATAGGATAGTAGACAACAGTGCAGGGGCTGAATGGACCATGGGAGAGGCTGGGGTCCTGGCCTGGCCTGGGCATGAAGCCTCAATCATCTGCCCTCCCCAGGCCCTTCTACCCAGGCCTGCTCTGTTTTACCAGCTCCTAGACATGGCTCCTCTAGCCCAGGCAGATGGCCAGGCCTGAACAGAGTGTCCTTACCCTTCTGATAAGCTGCTTCCTTTCAGGGCCACAAAGGGCAGAATGTGTCCTGCTGCTCAGGAAGTGCCCAAGAGCCTGGACAGGCCCCTGGAGTGGGTAAGGGGCTGGGCATTTGCCACCTTGGCAGCTACCCTGTGCAGAGGCAAAGCGGAGAGGAGCAAGGGGCAGGGACCAGGGCAGATCCCTACCCTTCCCCAACATGCCCTACTCCTCACAGTCAGCAAATCTCCATTTTTAAATTTTTACTTTTTGAGATGGAGTTTCACTCTTGTTGCCCAGGCTGGAGTGCAGTGGAGTAATCTTGGCTCACTGCAACCTCTGCTTGCTGGGTTCAAATGTTTCTCCTGCTTCAGCCTCCTGAGTAGCTGAGATTACAGGTGCCTGCCACTATGCCTGGCTAATTTTTTCTATTTTTATTTTATTTATTTTATTTTTATTATTTTTTTGAGATGGAGTTTCGCTCTTGTTACCCAGGCTGGAGTGCAATGGCGCAATCTCAGCTCACCGCAACCTCCACCTCCTGGGTTCAGGCAATTCTCCTCAGCCTCCTGAGTAGCTGGGATTACAGGTACGCGCCACCATGCCCAGCTAATTTTTTGTAATTTTAGTAGAGATGGGGTTTCACCATGTTGACCAGGATGGTCTCAATCTCTTGACCTCATGATCCATCCGCCTCAGCCTCCCAAAGTGCTGGGATTACAGGCGTGAGCCACCGTGCCCGGACTATTTATTTTATTTAATTAATTAATTTATTTATTTAGCAATGGAGTCTCACACTGTCACCCAGGTTGGAATGCAGTGGCACGATCTGGGCTCATTGCAACCTCCGCCTCCTGGGTTCAAGCAATTCTCCTGCCTCAGCCTCCCAGAGTAGCTGGGACTACAGGAGTGCACCACCACGTCTGGCTAATATTCATATTTTTTAGTAGAAATGGGGTTTCACCATATTGGACAGGCTGGTCTCGAACTCGACCTTGTGATCTGCCCGCCTTGGCCTCCCAAAGTGCTGGGGTTACAGGTGTGAGCCACTGTGCCCAGCTTTATTTATTTATTTATTTAGACCGAGTTTTGCTCTTGTTGCCAAGGCTGTGTGCAATGGCACGATCTCAGCTCACTGCAACCTCCACCTCCCAGATTCAAGCGATTCTCCTGCCTCAGCCTCCCAATTATAGGCAGCTAATTTTTTTTTTTTTTTTTTGAGATGGAGTTTTGCTCTTGTCTCCCAGGCTGGAGTGCAGTGGTACAATCTTGGGTCACTGCAACCTCTGCCTCACAGGTTCAAGCCATTCTCCTGCCTCAGCCTCCCAAGTAGCTGGGATTACAGGTGCCCACCACAACATGGGCTAAGTTTTTGTATTTTTAGTAAAGACAGGGTTTCACCATGTTGGCCAGGCCAGTCTCGAGCTCCTGACCTCAGGTGATTTACCCGCCTTGGCCTCCCAAAGTGTAAGGGTTACAGGCGTGAGCCACTGCACCAGGCCATTTTGTATTTTTATTATAGACAGGGGTTTGCCATGTTGGCCAGGCTTGTCTCGAACTCCTGACCTCAGGTGATCCACCACCCCCTGCCCACTATAACCCCTCGGCCTCCTAAAGTGCTGGGATTACAAGCATGAGCCACTGCACCTGGCCAACAAATCTCTGCTGAGAAGCTGTTGGGAGTACGGCCGTGAACATTCCCTGCCCTAGCTGGGTTTCTGTGACTGATTGCCTGCAGCTCAGCTTCTTTTGAACCTGAGAACCCAGGCGCAGGTTCCCAGCCCCCTTGCCCCAACAGGCTTTTTTGTTTTGTTTTGTTTTTCAATACAGGGTCTCACTCTGTTGCCCAAGCTGGAGTGCAGTGGCACGATTATGGCTCACTGCAGCCTCAAACTCCTGGGCTCAAGCAATTGTACCATCTCAGCCTCCCAATTAGCTGGAACTACAGGCATGCATCACCACACCTGGCTAAATACTTTGTATTTTTTGGCCGGGCACGGTGGCTCATGCCTGTAATCCCAGCACTTTGGGAGGCTGAGGCGGGTGGATCACAAGGTCAAGAGATTGAGACCATCCTGGTCAACATGGTGAAACCCCGTCTCTACTAAAAATACAAAAATTAGCTGGGCATGGTGGTGCGCACCTGTAGTCCCAGCTACTTGGGAGGCTGAGGCAGGAGAATTGCTTGAACCCAGAAGGTGGAGGTTGCGGTGAGCCGAGATCGCGCCATTGCACTCCAGTCTGGGTAACAACAGCGAAACTCTGTCTCAAAAAAAAAAAAAAGTATGAACTAGTTAAGGGAGAAGGGCAATGTTTTAGGACAGTTGGGTAGAGATGATAGAGGGAAACTAAGTAAAGATATCACCAGCTCTGTTGACAATGCATGAGAATTCTGGTGGGTTCTAACACACTGGTAGGAAAGTCATCAGAACAGATATAAGCAATGATTTTAATTTGACTTTAGAAGACAGCATCTATATTTTAGGAAGGACTTTTGAACTTCTTAATTAGGTTTTGTTAAATCTGTTTAAATCTGTTGGTATTTCTCAATGTGACATACGCTCTTGGTGGCAGGATATAGCTCAGAAGCTTGAGGCAGGAGGGTGACATATTACCGCAGATAATCCTTGGTGGATCAAGGAGCGGTGTTAATAATAGCAGTGTGGGAATTTACTTATGCTCTTTTCCTGGGTTTTCATGTAATTGATAGGAGATGGCTCCTAAATTCTTCTTTCTGGGGGCAAGAATAATCTAACAACACATTGATATCTGAACAAATGAAATCAACATGGTAAATACTTTTTTCATAATTAAAAAATAAAGTGTAAGTTCTTTTGGGCTGACTGATGGTGCCATGGCGTGCACGTACACCTCTAGAGGGCCTTCTGGAATTAGAAAACGTGAAGGAATTGGAAGACCATGAAAAGTGGAAGACAATCAACCCTTTAGGTGCCTAACTAACCTGAGACATTCTTCTATTGTTTCTTATTCCGGCCTCGATTGACAAGGCCATTGGACTTTGTAACCAACCTTGGTCAACTTTGTAACCAACTTTGGTCAACTTTGTGACTCCAGACCCTACGACCTCCTCCCAGCTTGCAAAAGACCACCCAAAACTGTAACTTCTGTAACTTTACACTGCCTACTGCAAACATATAAAACTAGCTTCTCTCCCACTGCCCTCCACTGACTCAGGAGTGAATAAACAGCCATGTTAATCACAAAGTCTATTTGGGTGGTCTCTTCATTCAGAGCGTGCGTTTTAAAGTAAAGTAAGTATGTTTTAAATAAGGCATCCTGATCAGGATGTAAAATAGGTACAGTGCTCCTGAGCATGTGTTTGAACTTTGTGGATCCGTTTATTTGCAGATTTTTTCCCAAGACATATATTGGAAATGTTTTTTGAGATTTGCAATCATTTGAAAAAACTCAACGAACACAGCCTAGAAATATTGGAAACATTAAGAAATTGTAAGGTATGTCATGAATTCAGAAAATATATGTAGATACTAGTCTGTTTTATAATTTGCCACCATAAAATATACCCAAATTTATTATAAAAAGTTAAAATTCATCAGAACTTGTGCATACACTTATAGGCTGCATATGATGCCATTTGTAGTCAAGAGAAATATAAAAACAAATGTAAAAATGCAGTATTGAATTATAACTGCATAAAATTAACTGTAGTAATGCCATACTACTGCAATAATTTCATAGCCGCTTCCTGTTGCTATCGCCGTGAACTTAAGTGTTGCAAGTATTCACTTAAAATGCTGCATGCAGCATTTTGGGAGGCCAAGGTCGGTGTATCACTTGAGGCCAGGAGTTCGAAACCAGCCTGGCCAAAATGGCGAAACCCCATCTCCTCTAAAAATACAAAAATTACCTGGGCATGGTGGCGCATACCTGTAATCCCAGCTACTTGGGAGGCATAGCTTAAACCCAGGAGGCAGAGGTTGCAGTGATCCAAGATAAAGCCACTGCACTCCAGCCTGGGTGACAGAGTGAGACGTCATCTAAAAATAATAGTAATAATAAAATATGCAGTGTGATGCTAATCATTTCCCCGTGAGCAGTTCCTCTTCCTGGTCAATTTTTTATCACACTAAAAGGTGATCTCTTGAAGTTCTTGTGTATTTTCATCGTGTTTAGTGCAATACCGTAAACCCTTCATAACCCAATGGAATGCATATGAAGTATCACTAGTGATGCTGGATGTGCTCCCAAAAAGCAGAGGGAAGTCATGTCATTACAAGGAAAAGTTGAATTGCTTGATCTGTACCATAGACTGAGGTCTGCACTGCAGTCGTCAGCCTTTTGACAGATGATTCATCTTGTAAACAGACCACAACAAACTTGTATTATTGATAAATACAGCGTAATACTGTAAATGTATTTTCTCTTCCTTATGATTTTCTTAATAACATTTTCTCTTCTCTAGCTTACTTTGTTGTAAGAATACAGTATACAACGCATATAACATACAAGTACTTGTCAATTGACTGCTTATGTCATCAGTAAGGCTTCCAGTCAACAGTAGGCTACTAGTAGTTACGTTTTTGAGTCAAAAGTTATATGACAGTAACCCCCATGTTGTTCAAGGGTCAACCTACTTTCATGTGTCTGTTATGCTTATTTGATCCTTCAGTATTTAGTACCAAGAAAGGCAAAGAAATTTCTTCTAGAGTCACCCAATCTCATTGTTGCCAGTAAGATTTCTCCGAGGCACTTTCTGTGCTACTTGTTTCTCTGCAAAGCCTCCCTGAATCTTGTAGTTCATCCTTATCAAATTTTAGTCTATAGATAGAACACTTTGTTTCCTTCAGAAACACTCAGCACATCTGAGTTCTCCCTGACAGCTCGGGAGGACTGCAGTGCTTGAGTTGAAACTATGTGCCATTTCCTCATTGGTCCAGTGTTCCTGGTCTGGTTGCTTGGCCTTCATCCTGCCTGAAGTTCTAGTCCAGGAGCAGACACCAGAATGTGATTGTAACTTGATGACCTGAAGCATGTGATCTCATCACTTCTTCACAGCAGCCCTGGGTGATGTTCTTATCTCTATAACTATGTGATTTGATACCTGACCAAATCATACAGCAAGTACTTCTAAGGCCCATCCTTGAACCTGGGTGTCTGGTTTCAGAATATGAGTTCTGGCACTGTACTCTTTTGCCTCTTGCTATTTTAGTGATAATTCGACCATTTGTTTACATAATTAAATGATAATATTGTTTCTAATGATATTATATTGAAACTGTATAGTATGTAGTATATATTAAAGATAATATAGAATATACAATATAATAACAGAAAATATTAATATAATTTTCTTTGAGACAGAGTCTTGCTCTGTTACCCAGGCTGGAGTGCAATGTCAGGATCTTGGCACACTTCAACCTTCACCTCCGTGGTTCGAGGAATTTTTTGCCTTCACCCTCTGAGTAGCTGGGAATACAAGCGCATGCCACCACGCCTGGCTAATTTTTTTGTATGTTTTTTTTTGGGGGGACAGTTTCCCTCCTGTTACCCAGGCTGGAGTGCAGTGGCATGATCATGGCTCACTGCAGTTTTGACTTCCTGGGCTCAAATGATCCTCTCATCCCAGCCTCCGAGTAGCTGGGACTGCGGGTGTGTATCACCACACCCAGCTAATGTTTTGTATTTTTTTTTGTAGAGATGGGGTGTAAGCATGTTGCCCAAGCTGGTCTCGACCCCTTGGGCTCAAATAATCCACCAGCCTTGGACTCCCAAAGTGCTGAAGTGATTCCACACCCTGCTCCCATTAAGATTTCTGCATTGGGTAGTTGAATAGACTCAGTCACTGATCATCTCATGGGCTCCCTTCACACACCTGTGGTTACAATTTGTGGTTAAATGAAAATACAAATTATGACATGTCATGAACCT